TATATATATATATACACAGTATATGGATTCAATTCAAAGAGAAAATGCACAGTCAATAAACATTCATTTTGGTAGGAACACACTCATAATTAACTGTCAGCATCAGTGTGACTTATCGGTCACGATGCGAAAATGTTTTCATTCTGGGGGAAAAAATCGAGTTGCAGTCTTGAAATTAGTGACCCAACACAATTCAGTCTTTGTAAAATCTCAATGTGAGACAATGCTGTGACTAAAAACTAAAAAGTTGTCTTCAAATGTGAGCAGGTTTGAGGTGATCGTTTTCCACGGTTCTTTTCCAATTTTTCTGATGCACAGGAAGCATCACATCAGTCATGATGATTAAAATACTAACAGGTGGGTTTATAAAGCACCTTAAAGTATAACTTTAATGCCAAATATTAGTGTTGTTAAACGCTGTCAACACCGCAAAATGAAAAAGACTGAAAAGGACTTACAGCTTTGGGCCGAAGCTCCAACCGCGAGGGCGGCAAGCACAAGAGCAATCCACATCTTCATAGTATGAAAACGAGTTTGTTGAAAGTCCTCCTTCGATCTGCTCCTCATACACGAAGGTGAGTTGTAAAGTTTCCTGTTCTTCCGACAGATGTGTGCTCCTCAAAGTTCAAACCTGTTTGGACAGACGGGCGAGCGGAAAGTAGCGTGAAGGTTCACTCAAAGCAAAAGGTGCGTCTCCCAAGTTAAAACCGAATCGAGTTGACTTAATTAGTTTTGGACGTCGACAAACTCATGAGCAGGCAGGAAGAGAATTTATTATGCTGGGAGTATCAATACGTCACATGAATTTGCGTAAGAGTATGAAGGAGGAGGAGTTTGTAAAAAACAAAACAAACAAACAAAAAAAAAAACCCAACTCCCTCCCCCTCTGCACACCTTTTCCGGTGTGACCATATTTGGGTATGATGTTCTTTCCCTTAACATTTCAAAGCTTCTTCCCCTTTATTGCATGTATGCATCTTTTGTCTTGTCCCATCAGTAAACACAGCTATTTACCGCTTCATGTGAGGTGCAGTACCTGAAAATACAAATAATAATAATAATAATAATAATGATAATGGTTTTGTTTTGGTTTTGTGTTTTTTAGATTTTTCAGAAAACACGAAACACTGAATCAGATTGTCATATCATATATTTATTAATAATTTCATTTCAGAGGTAGAATTGATCGATTAGTTCAACTAAGGATGTAAACGATTTTAACAGAGGCAGACAGCATCCAGAGGAGATGTTTAGGGCACAAAATACACTCATATTCTTTGTCAAAATATGACTTTGGCCACTAATTTAAGAGGATTACGAAATGCTATCAACTCTTCCATTAACATTTCTTAAAATGTCGGTCATGTAGGATTCTGTTTTCGCGGGACAGTTTGGATGGCAAAGATGGAAGAGAAATACTTTGTGTACACATGCGTGAATAACGTGAATAACTTACATGCGTGTATGGGAATTGGGAAATAAAAATGAAAAAAACGGTACTACTGTATTCCCAAGTTCCATTTTCAGTTATTCAAACCTCTCCCCATATTAATAAGGATTCTCATAATGCACTACAAGTAAAACACATCATATCTTACTCTTAATATCTAAGATTTAATGTTACATCGGACTAATTTATGGTGAATATTAAATGCCTTTTAAAACCTTTAAAGTTCAATATTATCGTATGATGACGTAATGGACAACCTGAGCCAGTATGCTGAGTCAGTATATTTTAGGATAGAAACCAGAATTGGGAAAGCATTTCATAGCTGTTGTGAGTCACGGTTGATGCAGATGAGTCATTCTTTCAAGGTTTCAGTAATTATTTACCTGGAAAATATTATTCAGAGCATACTCTCATTGTTGTCTTCATGACGATTACCATTCAAATGATAGCAAGGACTGTGAATAATATCTATAATATTTAGTTTCTATGCCTTTGTAGTGATATGACGACAGCCCAGGATGTACCCAGCCGGGATACGCTCCAGGAAGATGGATGAATGGATGGACAGTAAACAAAGTACATTTTAAACATTAAAAAAAAAAAAAAAAATCTACCAGTTGTAACTGCAATTGAAAGAATATGTCTCTTCCCTATCAACAAAAATAATATTATTTCACCCTTTCAGGGACAACAGGACCTGCAGTGGACATCTTACCACGTTATCAGGTTACAGGGTGCATGAAAGGGTTAAAAGACTTCACCTTCATGCAATGACTTTTGTTTTTATGATGAAGCAAAAGGACTTCCCGGTTTAGTTGAGCCAACTGAACAGGTCATTCATAAGAAACTTTTTAAAAGATAGACCAGTACACAAAATTGTTTTGTTTTATAGAAGTTTATGTGACATGTAACACAGTGTATGCAGTTAAACCTGTTAAATCGCAGTTCAGTTTTTGTGCTCTCACAATTTTTTTGTGTTACATGTTGTACTGTATTTTTTTTCAGACTGTTTGTAGAGTATTTCGTAATCCTTTGCACTTAATCTCGCAATATTTTATATGTTTAAATTTGTTTGCATTGCTTTAAAACAATGTTTCAAGACTTTCAAAAATGTCTAAGAGCTGTATATGCCGTATATGCTATAAAAAAACATTTTAATAGGGTGTATTTAACTGGAGTATTCTATATAAGAGAGTTTCAATTATTGCGGGGAATCTGGAACATACAGCCATGGGAAAAAAGTATGAGATCACCATTTTTCTTCTCTATCCTGGTCATTTTAAGGGCCTAGTACAACTCAAGATTGTTAATGAAATGTTCATGAAAACAAAAACAGCTCATAAGAGTTTAATTTAAAAGCTGATCTAGACATTTTCTTGATGATGACCAAAATCACTTCACAAGTTCTTACATCAATAGTTATGTCATTGTACTGTATTGCCAAAAGCGGTGTTTCTGAACTAACATATCATCTGACAATATATACCAATAATATCGCCCAAAGACATGTACATTATAAAATGAACCTTCTGCCATAATTTTTTTTGAGGCTTAAAAAGCAGGTTTACAGTGGAGGACATTCAATAATTTTCAACAAAACTAGGCTGTCCTGACGTCATCTTATTTTTTCCAAACAAACAAACTCAATTGTTCATCTGACAATATACACAATAAACATACCGAAAGACTTACATTAGAAAATGAACCTTCATCTGTCACTTTCTATCGACTTCGAAAGGAGGATGTGTTCAATAATTTTCAGCCGCGCTTGAAAGCTTCCTGTGTGTGCTGCCGTCTTGTGGTCAATAATCGAATCACACCCACATAGACGAGCATTTCACCCATAGTTACCACCTGTACAAAATTAAAAAAAAAAAGTAGGACCGCGAAACCTGAACCCGCAATGGATGGTTCTTCATTGTAAATACGGTAATAAAACTGAAATTATATTTAAGCAGTGCCCTGCTATGTCACAACCCTCAATTACTTATTATCATTGGCTCTCCAGTGCATCTGATGTTGTAAAGAGCATACGCTTTAAATATTTTAGATGTCAATGCAAATTTATTGGAATTTGGAATCCCCTGTCAACTGATAGGACATGAGTGGGAAAGACACATCCTTGCACAAGACATAACAGATCACAAAGCAGAAGGAGACACGGTTGTGTCATGGAAAAAAAAAAACATCCAAATATCCCTGAAGCACAATGATCTTGAAATGACATGGCATTTGGACAATCGTGATTCTCCATGCAAAGGTCACCCGACACAGCATTCTGTTTTGACGTTTAGGTGACATGGTTTAACTATGTGATCAAATAGGCAAGGAGGTTCCTAAAAAAAACAACACCAACAAAAGAACGAAGCAATAACATTTAAAGGCTGTACTAGTCCCTCGCGATTAGCAGGAGATTGAAAATTATATCGATGCCCCACATGCTTGACTGCAGTGAACAAGGCAAAAAAAAAAAAAAACGCCCCAGGGACACCTTTTCTGCGTATTGTGTGAACGCTTACACACAACCAGGGGAATATGGGTGTTCCTCTTCCCAGAGGTTTAATATGTCAGGGCTGTGCACCTTATTGTCCTGATTCCCTGAGGTGGATGAACCAAGACTAAGGAGGAGGAGGAGGAATCGGAAGGAGCCTCTTGAGGACTCAAGTGAAGTTGGTGAGGACGACTTTTCAGGTTGAGAGTGTGTGGTCCGAACCAGGTGAATTCACACACACAAGACCACAAGGAGAAAGGGAATGGGGTGAGTGCAAATCAATTCTCCTTTCAGCTGCTTTTTTTTTTTCTAGTGATGACAAATATTCAATTCACATAAAGCGGTTTGGATAATAGAAGGATGGATGGAAGGATATTGCTGACGTACGGCGGAATCATTGCATCTCCAAAATCGTCACTTTTCAGGAAACAAACAAAATGGCATGTTTGTTGAGTCATTAACATTGCATCAACAAAGAGAGAACGCCATTTTCAAAACTTTATTTTGCTCAATAATTTGTAAACCAATCGAATCAATTTGTGAAAAAAAAATATGAAATTGACCACTTTTTGACACAGCTATATTCAGAATATGCATATTGATACAAATACATACTTTCTCCACTTTTCTCACGTGGATGTACAATTGATCCGTAATTTTGATTAAACCTATGAGTACACATTCAATTTCTGACTGTATTTCAATCAGTGCGGAATGGAGCAAATGTGTTGTGATTTATCACTTGCGGATAAAAATAATAATAATAATAATCGTGGTGCCATAATATGTGTATTGGGTGCAAAATGATACATTTTGCATGCCTTTTTTTCTGAGTGAAAGATGAGCATGGTACAGTCAAAGGTTGGTAACAATGACGTACCGTACTGCACGAGTAATTTATGAGTAATGAGCTCGTATGACTCTGAAACTGCAATTTAAGTTCATGTTCACCTGACCTCAGTACTGTAATCTTTTTGTCAAATCGGTACAAAGAATGACCAATTAAAATAAAAAATACAATTTGTCCAAATTTCTTTTTAATGTATTTAAAATGTAGTAATCTCTCAAAAAAAAAAAAAAACAAACAAACACATTTGCACTTTAAAACCTGTTGGGAAGGTAAGTTTGGACAGTAACTTTGAAAAGTTAGGTTTTATTTGTAAGTACCGGTAATATTTATGTAATGGGAGGTTTTGTATTATCATTGTCCAACTAGCGCCTTGTCCTACAATGTAAACAATAGTTTGACGTGCCCTCAAGGGAACCATGACATCTAGATGGTAACTCAATCAGTACCAACATAGACCTATTATTCCTATAATTCCTCTGCTTGGCACAGCAGGTCTTTTGGGTCAGACATTAGTTAACCTATACACAGCGGATTTATTTGTTCAAATGGTCACTTAGTTGCAAAGACGGAAATGATTATACAGTACCAGCAAATTGCAGGGCACACATAGACAGACAACCATCCACGCTCACACGCACACCTAGGGACAATTTGGAGTGAAAACCCACGCGGACACGGGGAGAACATGCAAACTCCACATGCAAACTCGTCACTTCCAAAGAGAAACTCAGCATCGCCACCTCTGTCACCTGTAACTCTATTTCCTGTATTCTGCTCATTTCCAGCATCTCTGAACCTATCGTCCTTTAAACCTTTTCTTTCACTTTAGCTGATTTTCTTCCGCCACAGGTCACAGCTGACACTTTCCTCCACTTGTTCCATCCTGCCTGTCTGCTCTTTCGCATCTCTTCCACACTCGCCACTGCTCTGAGAAGTGGCTCCAAAATACTTGAACTTGAGCGCCTTCTCCACCACGATTCCTTGTTGTAACCTTACCATTGCACCGGACTCCTTTTTCATTTCCTATATGCTTCTGTTTATTCAGTCTTGTCAGTCTTGTGTATTCAGTCCATTGCTCATCTTTCCAACCAATTTCTATTGCTTGAAAAGCATATACACTAACCACAACAGTCATCTCTTTGTTGCAGAAAAATACTACGTTTGGAACTGTAAGTTATTGCATAAATCAGTTTTTTTCCCTGACCTTCCATCATACACTGCAGCCCAAGCTACTGGTAAAGGCTTGCTAATCTGCTGTATGTGTATTATTTTTTTTTTTTTATTATACGCGAAGATTAGAAACCCTTTTTGAAAATCAGTTTTGATCTTGGAGAAGCACATGTCAAATGAGGATTAGGGTTATGTTTTTCTGCAGAGCCGTCAGAGCCATAAAAAATGATCCACAGTCTTTTTTTAATGGTGTGAAAAAGAAATGTAACAAATGCTCATCCTTTTGGTCAATTCTTGACTTTGAATTTCAGAAGCAGAGCATGTTGGCATTCTTTGTATGGAAGGACCCCTTTCTTTCATGTATTTATTTATTTTTTTAAATATACTGTCATACTGTAAGAATATAACCCCTCCACTTTGTTTTGAAAAGATTTCAGACATTTCTTTCTGAGTCTTTTCCTTACCCTTCCAGGTTCCCACTCTTGTGGCTGATCACTCTCTTGGCAATGCCAAAGTACTCCTCTGCAGGTGAACAAACTCACAGTCACCTCATTTATGCTAAAAACACACTATTTTCCCCAAATAATTGGATTCTTCATTTGTTACCTTCTTCTCTCTATATCGTTTTCTTATCAGTTGCTGACCTGAAGGATTGCGAGGCGGCAGGCAGCAAGTGCCATCAACAGGCGGAGTGTCTAAAAGTCCAAAACAACTTCACCTGCGTGTGTGCAATGGGCTACCAGGGTGATGGTCTTCTGTGCGGGGACATTGACGAATGCCTCGGCGGCCTGCACAGTTGTCATCCGAAGGCCCGCTGCAACAACACCCTTGGCAGCTACAATTGTTTTTGCCTGAGTGGATTCACCGGAGATGGGACTAACTGCCAGGATATTGACGAGTGTCAGAAAGAAAACGGCGGCTGTCACGCCAACGCATTCTGCAGCAACTTTGAGGGTGGACGCCAGTGCCGATGTAAAGTCGGTTTTGAGGGAAACGGCTTCAAGTGCACCGATAAAAATGAATGCACGAACCCGAATATTTGCCATTGGAATGCAACCTGCACCAATAACCCCGGATCTTACGTTTGCACCTGTAATCGAGGCTATAAGGGCAACGGGAACTACCTGTGTCTCGATATCGATGAATGTTCAGAGACTCCGCAGGTGTGCCCATCCTTGTTTGGTTACAAGGGCTGTAAAAATCTACCTGGTACTTATCGCTGCACGTGTAGCAACGGCTTTGAAAGTAATGGCCGGAGCTGTGTGGACATTGATGAATGTGCAGGCAACATCTGTAGTCTCTATGCAGACTGTTTGAACACAATTGGGTCGTACCGATGTAACTGCAACAGCGGTTTTGTCGGAAATGGCCTGACGTGTGTTGATATCAATGAATGCAATGAGGACAATGACTGTGATCTCAATTCTGTTTGTATTAACAGGCTTGGCAGTTATGAGTGCTCCTGTCTGGAGGGCTTTGAAGGAGATGGTAGATTGTGTGAGGACGTTAATGAGTGTGTAACACCAAGCATCTGCCCTCCTACAACTACCTGTGTCAACACCAATGGGTCACATTTCTGCGACTGCGGTCGCGGTTTCATCTTTGTGAATTCTGAATGTCGTGACCTGGATGAATGTGCAGCAGGCCCTTGCAGCCCCTACTCTGTCTGCACTAATTCACCCGGTTCCTTCACATGCCAGTGCGCGGGAGGTTACAGGGGAGACGGCCTCACGTGTGTGGATGTGGATGAATGTTCCATTTCTACTCAATGCCACGTCAACGCACTTTGCACTAACCTGCCCGGCATCTATAATTGCACCTGTCAGGTGGGTTACTCTGGAGACGGCGTGATCCAGTGCAGTGATGTGAACGAGTGTCTGGTGGATAACGGAGGCTGTAGAAATCAGGCTACATGTGTGAACAACCTTGGCTCTTTCGCTTGCCTGTGCCAAAGGGGATTCATCTTGTTGAACCAGACTCTCTGCCAGGATGTAAATGAGTGTGCGACACAGGAAAATCCGTGTGGTGTCAATGAAGAATGCAGGAACGTTGATGGTTCGTACGAATGCCCTTGCCAGACTGGATATTACCGCCCTGCCGCCACAATGGACTGTGTCGATATCGACGAGTGTAAAGAGAATCCTTGCCATGTTAATGCCACGTGCCTCAACACAGTCGGCTCCCACACCTGCACCTGTAAGCGAGGCTTTGCGGTCAACGGCACACAGTGTGATGACATCGACGAGTGCTCTGTGATGGACGCATGCCATCCACGGGCACTATGCATCAACTTTATCGGGGACTTCTTCTGCTCCTGCCAGCAGGGGTTCGACGGTAATGGCTTCTCCTGCCAGGACGTGGACGAGTGCCTCCTCCCGGATGCCATTTGTCCAGATTTCTCAAAATGCGTCAACTCCCCCGGAGCACACGTTTGCTCATGTTTGAATGGTACAGTCGCCCTGAATGACACTTGCGTGCCACCAAGTCCGGTCTGTGACCCGGGGTGCCACATGAGTGGCCTATGCCACCCCTCACCTTCTGGACATCAATGTGTGTGTGACCTGGGTTACATCGGTGATGGGCTGACTTGCTTTGATATCGATGAGTGCCAAAGGGAAAACATTTGTCCTGAAAATGACTTTGAGTGCGCAAATGTCCCTGGTTCATATTCTTGTGTTTGCAAGCAAGGCTACATTATGAACGGAACTCAGTGTGCTGGTAAGACAAACATTGAAAATATTTCTACCTCTTGCATTGTTGTTATTATGATTATTGTTTTCCCCAAAATGAAATATAAAACACAAAAGCAATGGAAAGACCAATACTTATACTGTGCCGTGCGACTAAACTCAAGGAAATTGGACAATTGCACAAACAAAAAAAAACAAAAAAACAAAACAAAACAAAAAAAGAGTTGGCAATTCACACCCGCTAATAGGTAATGACGCTTGCACAAGTACCAACTTACTGCAAAGTACAACAATGATCACCGCATTCAGTGACTGTATTAATTTATTTCCATGCAAGACTCTCCACACTTTGCTTTTTTTAGCTACAGGTATATTTGAAATTGAAACTATAATTATTATTTTTTTGAAAACATAATAAGTATGTTGACTTTACATACTGCATTGGTAAATCATACCCACAAGCTCAACAGTTTGTTTTTGTTGTGAACAACAACTCACGTGCAGACAACAAGGCATTTCAGATAGCCGCAACATCTGCGATAGTGAGACGGTGCTCCCCAGTGATATCAATTTGGAATAGCGGCAAAGCTTCTGGGCACTCATGAATAGAGTTGCAGAACCTGCAAACATCTCAGTCAGATCCAGCCACGTTGCTCGTTGTGCGGCATGCTGAAATCACCTATGGTGGTTAGAAATTCAAAATCATACAAATGTATGATATTCCATACATTTGTGTTCTCAGATTCCCCTAGAGTTTTCATATGTATCTAACCGTCTTTTTCATTCTTTCTTTTGCTTTCTCCCCTTTTCTGTCAGATGTAAATGAGTGTGAAACAGGACGACATGAGTGCAGTGACTTTTCTCAGTGTGAAAATACAGTGGGAAGTCATGTCTGCTTCTGTCTCAGTGGCTTCACAGGTGATGGCAAGAACTGCTCTGGTAAGTGTCAACTCCCCATTCATTGCACATTATGACGATTTTGCTCCATTCTAGTTACTCTCTTGAGAGATTTGTTCATCTCCATGTGGGACCGCTTCCCTGACAATGTCCCATTTTGGATGAATTATAGACTTTGATGAATGCCAAGTCCAAAATGGAGGATGCCATAACGTTGCCAGCTGCACAAACACACCCGGATCTTTCATCTGTGACTGCCCCGTTGGCATGGAGGGTGACGGTTTTCAGTGCCAAGATGTAAACGAATGCCAGCACAATTCCACCCTGCCGCACAACTGCAGTGCCCAGGCTTTGTGCCACAACACATACGGAGATTACGACTGCCAGTGCCAGGATGGTTATCAGGGGGATGGCTTTGATTGTGAGGATATCGATGAATGCCAAAAGAATACCACTTGTAGCACAAATATGACATGCGGCAACACCATTGGCTCCTACACCTGCATGTGTATTTTTGGCCTGGTATATGACAAGGGGACCTGTGTGAATGAAGATGCGTGCCTCAACACCAGTTCCATCTGTCATCCCCTCGCCGAGTGCCACCACTATCAGGGTTCCTTCTACTGTCAGTGCAAAGATGGCTATCGAGGCGATGGCTCAGAATGCGCCGATGTGGATGAATGTGACCAATTCCAAGGTCCAGTATGCCCGAGCTTCTCCTCCTGTTTCAACACTAATGGCTCCTACCTCTGTGAATGTTGGCAAGGTTTTCTTGACAATGGGACACACTGTCAGGACATGGACGAATGTGCAATGGGGAACTTCACCTGCCGAGACAACAGCACTTGCAGCAACGTCAATGGCGGCTACACGTGTATTTGTGACTCCGGCTTCTCTGGCAATGGATCCGCATGTGTAGATGTAGATGAATGCTCCCTTGGCCGAATTCAGTGCCCTGATTCCTCTAGCTGCCTGAATTCAGTGGGATCCTTTTTCTGCAAGTGTTGGGAAGGTTACCAAAACAAAAGCAGTGCCTGTGAGGATATTAATGAGTGCCAGAGCAACTCCACCTGCCCTGAACGTAGCACATGCATCAACACCAATGGAAGCTTCCAATGTATATGTGATGCTGGATTTTCTTTCGTCGACGACTTATGCATGGACATCGATGAGTGCAATGAAACTCATCTTGAGAACATTTGCAACAATGGCGCATGCAGTAATGCAATCGGATCATATTACTGTGAGTGTATGACCGGATTTTGGAGTAATGGAACAACATGTGTTGATGTCAATGAATGCTCAGACTCACGCAACTCAACAGCGTGCCCGCCTCAGTCGACATGTATCAACACCCCCGGCTCTTACAGTTGTTCTTGCCATGAGGGCTTTATTCTAAATGGCAGCAAGTGTCAGGATAAAGATGAATGTCAAGGCCCGATAAGCTTGTGCCCTGAGCACTCATTCTGTAATAACACGGCGGGATCCTTCATCTGCGAGTGCTATCCTGGGTACACTTCCTTTCTGTTGGGTTGTGAAGATATCGATGAATGCAGCTATAACACCTCCTGTCGCCTTGATCAGGTGTGCACCAATGTTCCTGGAACATACACCTGCATTTGTCCTTTGGGATACCATGAGGAGGGGAGAATGTGTGTCGACACCAATGAATGTGAGGATTTACCTTGCCATTCCTTGGCGCGTTGCTGGAATAACCGCGGTTCCTTTTCATGCCATTGCCCTCTGGGCTTCGCAGGAAATGGCTCATGGTGCGAAGACGTGGACGAGTGTGTGGCATTCACCAATCCGTGCCAACCCGTAGCTCAGTGCCACAACACCCCGGGGTCATTTGTATGTGTATGCGTCCACGGCTTTGTGAGTATTGGACCCTACTGTGTAGACCTTGACGAATGCCAACAGGCCAATGGGCAGTGTCACTCTGCTGCCACCTGCTCCAATCATGTAGGAGGTTTCAAATGTACCTGCAGTCAGGGCTGGAATGCAACCAAAGACAATGGTCATGGAAAACGAGGATGTGTGGACTTTGATGAATGTGTGTCACCCGTGACATGTCCTGGGCAAACGTCTTGTACAAATCTGCCAGGGTCTTACACATGCTCCTGTCCAGAGGAAAATATAGTCTGCGACATGATTTGGAATGGTTAGCTATACATTTATTATCATTCATTTTGATTTTTTTTTTTTACTTGTCCACATAACCATATGCCTCGATGCGTGTGTCTCAGAGCATGTGCAATTTCAGAGTTATTTCAATTTCATTTATTGGAATGTAGGTATTTCTATTTGAAATATTGAACAATATGCTATCTTGAAATCCTTTTCTCCATACCTGCAACCCATTGTATACATGTTTCTGGTACGCTAAAGATATCAAAGCCAATTGCTACAGATAATGTTTCAGCCTATACGCTGTTTGAATTTTATTTCAAAAACTCCTTTCACATATTGTAATATGTGTCAGTTTGGACGAACATAAAGTTAATGCACGTAGGTTTAACAGTTGCCCTGATCAACACTTTGAATTGCACCAACAGAGAGCAACCTGTACCCATTTGGAGCAGAAGTTGGTGATACAAGAATACACATGGACACACAAGATGGAACGTCTCCATACATCAAACCACCCATAGGTTTTCCATTCATGGGGAAATTATCTGACAGAATTTATGTAAGTTTGCCAAAAGAGGAAATCTCACAGAGTTGCAAGAAAAAGTTCTTTGGAATAACCTGGATGACTGCATGGTCACGGCCCGGTGGGCCAGTGGTTAGCGCGTCGACCTCACAGTGCAGAGGTACCGGGTTCAATTCCAGCTGCGGCCCCCCTGTGTGGAATTGGCATGTTCTCCTCGGGCCTGCGTGGGTTTTCTCTGGGTACTCCGGTTTCCTCCCACATTCCAAAAACATGCATGGCAGGCTGATTGAACACTCGAAATTCTCCCAAGGTGTGTGTGTGTGAACGCAGATGGTTATTCGTCTCTGTGTGCCCTGCGATTGGCTGGTAACCGCTTCAGGGTGTCCCCCCCCGTCTACTGCCTGAAGACGGCTGGGATAGGCTCCAGCACCCCCCGCGACCCTTGTGAGGATAAGCGGGTTGGAAAATGGATGGATGGATGGATAGACTGCATGGTAACGAGATCAATAGAGAAAAATAATTTGCTTAAACAAACACCACAGATCTCAAATATCATGCGTGCCAAAATGAAGTTTGAAGTGGTGGAACAGGAAGTCAAGTAGGACAGGCAAACAAACAAACTGAGTTACAACAAAGAAAAATGTAGCTCTGATAATTTTAGGGAAGCCAGCCACCACAGAAGAGTCGTGTTTTATTTATTTAAACCCCCCTCCCCGCATATATTTGTGTGTGGCAGTTGGCTATACGTGCTTTCACTGGGAGAGACCGGCACCAATTGTCACCATGCACTGAAACGACGCAGATGCACAGAAATGCATGAAAGGGTTTCCGATGACATTTCTCCTTCTTGTGACCGGCTCCGAGTCAACCCTAGAATTTTTTTTTGTTGACATTTTCACAAATGTTTGCACAAGTGGCATTTTTTTCTGCCTGTGGCACCCTGGCACTGCTGTGTGCACCTGTTTGGGTTTGCACCTGCCTTACGGTTGCAAAAAACTTCAGGCTTCCCGAGAAAGCAAAATAGATGTCAGCAAAAGTCTTCTAGAATCACTAAACTTTGTTTGTGGTCAACCAGAGGCACTTTAAATGGGGGACGATGTGCGTTGACCTCCATTTAACATAAGCTTGAATGTGACTGGTTGATTCTGGTTAATTCTGGACATGGCCATTTATGAGACAGTGTGCGCAGTTCTCTTCCCCACTCAAACATATGTTAATTCAGTTTAGTTATACAGGTTATAGGTCCTATTGAAGGTGGAAAACTTCAATGATCTATGTTATACTTCTCTTATTTGCCTTGATGTCTTATAACCTGGCATTTGAAAAATGGGTATGTAGACGTTTTATATCCACGGTAATTATTTTGCATTAGTTTGACAATGCTGTACCTTGAAGATCATATCACATTTTATGACAGACTTGAGCAGAAATCCAGTTCATTCCCAAGGGTTTACATACTTTTTCTTGCCACTGCATCGGATCAGCATTTACTCTTCAACTTGGATTTAAAAAGATATGGTTAAAACTACATCAATATGATATTTTTCATAATTTATTGAACAGTCAATAAAAGTGACAGTTTTCATTGAGCTCTGTGCTTTTTTTTTCCTTTTCTGTTCCAGTTCTCTGACAATGGCCTTGTCCAATTTCAGTCTGCTGCTGAGAATGAGCAGTATCTGTTTCCAGCTCCATTAGCCGCTGGGTTTCCAACTGATATGAACGTGTCTCTCTTGGCGGTGTTCTGGGATGATGCTGACCTCACCCAAGGCGATGGACGTTTATTCTACAAGGTTTGATGTCATTCGGAGTTGAAGGCTGGGAAAAACGTTGAAAAAGAATATTTGAGAGCTCTAGTATTTCATCCTCTCATTGTTTCTTTTTACAGGAATACCATGAGTCCGATATGGCCGACGTGTACTCTCACATAGTGCTCAATCGCACAGCCATTGATGTTTCCACATTTCAAAGCCAGAGAGGAAAACCTGCATTCAGTCCTTCTTGGATCCTCAAAATCACTTGGGACCATGTAATGCCTGTGTCTTACCAGAAGATCAATCAGTCAGAGGTAACATCAGTAATTGTATGGCAAAATACTCCTAACCACGAAAACAACGCTTGAATAAAACTAGACATCTATTTAGGTGTCCTTGAAATTGAACATATAACTGGTATGCATACCAAAGCCAAGATTAACATCAGAAGCTTGTTATCGTTAGCTGGTCACTTTTAATGTGTCTGCTCTTCTGGAATTAATAAATTGAACAAATGCGCCCCCTTGAGGCAGGTCCAACGAAAGAAATACAGTTTATTTTCTGTTGCCCTGCATACAGACAACATATTGTCACCTTCCTAAAATAATAGCCAAAGTCATATTTGGAAAAAAACGTTTTTTTTTCCTGCCATAAACATCTCCATATGATGCTGGCCACCTCTGCTATTGGCTCCATCCAAACAGATCATTCCGTTCGACCCTGAAATTAAATGATTTATAAATATAATGTAATCAATATCTGGTTTCATTTGACAAGAGTCAATGTACTCAGTGTGAAATCGTGGTCTGTTCCCTTAAATGCAAATCTGATACAGTATATGTTCAGGAACTCAAGAAGGAAACAGGGTGAGCTTCAACAATTGTCAACCCACTTTTAATTTTTTTTTTTTAAATTAGAGATGCAAATAAACATTTGTGGAATTTTTGGGGGCGCTGATTCTGAATCTGCCCTCATTTTTCTAAAGCAGATGTTCCTAATCATACTATAAATTACAACAAATGCATGGTAAAAGTACGCAAGCTTTTATCTAGTAGGTCAATTTAAAAAAAAAAAAAAAATGAAAAGACATTTTTTTAAATCAACATCAAAAATACATTTGAGAACACATAAAGCCAACTCTGATTGCAAGTTTTGATCGACAAGTGTAATTTTCTGATCGCCTTGGTGAAATGAATTTAGACAATTTCTTGTAGCCTGATGATGTCTCTCTCATGCACACATTGCCGGTACATATGACAGAAGCGTAGAAGCCTTCACAAAGCAATGAAACGTGTTCATTAACCTACACGATGTGTGTTCATTACAGACAAACACTTTCCAGTGTATTCTGACCACAGATGGAGTACAGTCCTTTGCCCTCCTGCAATACGGGGAGATGAGATGGGGCCCGGGCCAGAGAGAACATCATGACGCCCTTATCGGCTATATGGATGGCAAAAGCACCCACAAAGAGCCCACTACTCCCCCAGGAAACATTTTTGGCCCAGGGGGAAGATACAGGCCGCAACAAGTGAGAGGGCCTTTGGGGAAGTTTGGCAAGCTTGTTTATGATTTAAGTGGACCTCATGAGTCTGAGGCGAACCCAGGACTGATGTGCCAGGCATGGGCAATGAAGGAGCCTGATCCTGCTGACTGGACTGACGGCTTACCCTTGTGTCACTGTACCCGCGCTCAGGCTCTAAAAGATTTGTCCTTTTTGCAAGATACCGCTGAACAAGGATCACAGCTGAAGACGTTGAGGGGTCAGAGATGGGGTGGTGATGGGGGCCACATCTTCCGCTCATTTTTTGCCAACAAATATGGATCCGGAAAGAGATGTGTGTATGATCTTCAGGGGCCTCTGTTGGCAGGTTACAATGAGCGCTACTTCTCAAGACAAAGTACCCAGAAACATATCGGTAATGCATGCCATTGTATTTTAGGCAAAGATTGCATTCAGTGATTGCGTTTTGGAGAAAAAAATATTTAGGAGTGAAATGATTATGAGCTCAATGCCTCCCAAACCAAAATGGTCTTAAATTAATTTATGTAAGGAGCATGCCTGAGACATACTGTACAGTAGCCACATTTTAAGGAGTCATGCATAGAATTTCAGGAAGCTGACTAATTAATTTGGTGTGCTTGCAATGTAATCAGAGTAAAAGAAGTTGCAGACAGCTGACATTAGTGCGATCGTGTGCAGTATTGATGTATACGGAACTATATGACATCAGGCTCTCTTATACAAAATGTGCTGTCATTTTTTTTTCTATCTCCAGTTGAAGATCTTCTACCTTTCCAGTGGTGTTGCATTGAGTCTCCTCTTTGTCACCTTTACCTCAAAAAACGGCCAATCGACCGCTGCAGAGGTTATAGCTGGGCCAATTTGAATGGCTCCAAGCTAGGCAACAGCGCAACGCAGGGTGTCGGTAATGGGTTCTCTTTGTTGTAAATATTTTATTTTAAACTGTCAACGCCTCACACAGTAGCTGCAGATTTTATTTTATTTTTTTAGAGGAAAAACATTCATACACAGCCAACTGAAACAGCAGGCATAATACACAGAGATTAATGATTGAATTACACATCATCTTTAATGTAAAGTACGGCATATGCTCAACGACTAAACATGAATGACAGTATCCATAGAAAACACCGGGAGTGGCTTGGCTCAGCTGAGTTGTCAAATCTCTCAACCAATGATTGAGGGTTCCAATTCCACTTCACCCACAGCCTCGTCCAATTACCTTTCAGCAAGAATCTGTCGCTGGTCACGTTATCAGTTGATGAATGAGGTGAAAGTAGTACTGTAAAAGTGGACCTTGAAAATAGAAAAACACTACAGAAGTGGAATTGAATTGAAATATATTTTTATAGTGTTTTAAATTGTTTAATTCTTGCAAAATTTTGTCGTCATTTGCTGCAAAATCATCTGTATTTTCCCACCGCAGCACTAGTTTATGGCAGCCTCCATTTCATCACTTTTGATGGGACAGAGTACTCCTTTAAGGCACTAGGAGAGTTTGTGATAGCGCGGCTGTCTTCCAACACTGGATCTAATATCTTCACCCTCCAAGGACAGACTGCGAGACTGCACACACACAAAAATGGGAGCATTAACTTCCCAGTGGTGGTACGCATGGCTGCTTTCTACCAGGGCATTGGCAAGGTCAGTGTGCTTGTGTATATCGAAAAAATGATACCAAAAATGAACGTGTGGGTGTATTCATGAGTTCAGTTTAAGGATTGTTGAGTCTTTCTTCTGAAGACTTTTTGTTTGAAGACTTTCAATCCAATTTTTCTCCATACATACATTTGACAGGCTCAGAATTAAGAGTATGCAAATCATCGAACCTAATCAAAAATTAAGCCTGATGCCTTCTCAAAATAACAACACTGTTATGGAAAAAAAAAGTTTCCTAGCATAAAACATGTACTGTACTTGTATTTGGTTGAATTTTACAGATTGAATGGAGATGTGCAGAGAAAGGAGAAGGACTGCGGGTGTTTATAGATAATGCAGAAATTGTTGTCACCATTGGTAACAGCTACACACGACACACCATTAAACACCGTTGTGTGGTATGAAACGGATAACCTTTTTTTGTGTGATAAATTATGTTCATCAGGTGTCGTTCACATGGGAGAAAGAGACTTTGCTGTGCGCTGTGTTTCATTGGATCGCTGCGCAGCTTTGTATGCCGCTGGTCTGCATGTGCTGGTTTGGCGTGTGGAAGGCCACAGCCAGCTGGCAGCCATGTTGGAAGTCCCCCAGACCTTTTACAACCGAACAGTGGGTCTCATGGGCCTCTGGAGTACCAACCGCTCAGACGACTTCCTCATGTCTGATGGCCGGCTGCTGTCCTCAGTAGACCATAACCCGCCCTCGGAAGACAAGCTGCATCTTTTTGGATTATCCTGTCAGTGAATTGCAGATACATTTACATTATTGGATTGTCCTCTGAGCAAAATGTTTCCATCGCTTCAACTCTAAGCATGTGTTGTGATCTATTCATTTGTAATACAAGTGCGATTAGTGGAACGAATGTTACATGGACTTGGTCGGTTAAAGTATTTGTGGTACATTTCGTATTTCAAACCACACATCTAAATTACAGTACTAACCATGTCTATAGGGGCAGTCCCACAACCAGAGAGCCTGCTGTTCTCTTCCCCTCCACTGGATCCATTTGAACCAGTTACCCTCAACAAATTGCTGGAGGACTACAGTCCTGATGTGGTGGAAGATCTGAGGAGAACCTGCCAAGGCAGCATGCGCTGTGTGCATGACAGTCTTGCATCCAACACTTCAAACCTGGGGCTTCAAACCCTGAACGCAGAGAAACAATACAAAAATTTGGCCCAAACATACGGTAAGACATCTTCATATTATTGAACCCGTGAGTTCTACCTTTGACTATACAGTATTTCATAAGCTGTATCTGTCTGTTCTGGTAGGCAACACACCACCCATCGTGACAGCACCTACACTGATCCAAGCTCAGGTCAACTCTACTGTCAACATACAAATTATTGCCCAGGATCCTAATGGGGATCCTATAATTTATTCAATGCTCTTCCCACGACCCCCACGGACCTCCATCGGCAGTGGTGAGACACACAAAAACGCACATTCACACACACAAAGGCATGTTTCTTACCCTTGATGAGTGATGACCCAAACTGGTCGAGTCATGTTTAGGGAGCATGCAGATCTACTTACAACTGTTGGCTGGGGAGATGAGAGTTTGTTTCTGAAGCACAACACAAAATAAAAGACTATTAACTTGTTCTGAGTTGTGATTGGCTGGCAACCGGTTCAGGGTGTCCACCGCCTAGTGCCCGAAGATAGCTGGGATAGACTCCAGCATGCCCGTGACCCTCGTGAAGATAAGCGGATTAGAAAATGGATGGATGGATGACTTGTTATGAGATGGAAGCATCCATTTTGTTCCTGTAGTTTGCATCTATTGTATGTATGTTCTCAAGTCACTTCTGAGCTCTACCGAATTACTAAGCGCGTTGAATCTGTGAGGAAAATTCATCTGAGTGTAGAGTTACCTCACTTCTCCGATTTTGGATCTAACGGCCTTGCTCATTGTGGTATAATTTCTGACTGCCTCTTTGCAAAATATGATTGAGGTCCAATCAGAGTCCACATGCTTTCTCCAATCCAGATGATGGTCACTTCACCTGGATGCCCCTTAGCACCAAGCCCGTCAAGCTTACGATTAAGGTCACAGACAAGCTCTCCAGCTCCTTGTTTACCCCCATTCTCCGCATCTGCAACTGCCTTAATGGAGGAACCTGTCTGTCTGACAGCATCATTGAAAACCACCTTAAAGGGAAGTTCCAGGTAAACCTTTGAGAGAAGCTAATGTTTCATACAAAGTATTGGACTATTCACATATACGCTGTAATTGCCTCCAAAACTATTCGAACAGTTAGGCGTATTCTTTCCTCAACGAAAGCGTTTAGCTATGACATATTGAAACATAGAATATGAGACTAGGGAAAGGTTTTATTTCCAGTACTTAGATCTGGATATACACTTTAGATGATCTTTTTGTTATAACCCATACATTGTTTGTACATTTGTCTGAAAGGCGTGTTTTGTTGATGTTAAAGTGCTGAATGTCAATGCTCAGCTCCAGCTTTGGATTTTATCTGTATGGACTACATTTAAAGTCAGTGGTGTTAACAACGTGAAAGTCAGCGAGCCTTTAAAGTGAGAAAAGCAAGTGATTGTAAAGCAGAAAGAAGATTTTTTTTTTTAAATCAGTCACAGCCATTGTACAAAAATTGCCCATCCCCAGTTAAAATATTTCTCCAGATGATGGAAGAAACCCACTGACGCACAAATAGACACTGAACAGCTACACCAATGAAAACAACAGCAGTTGAAGACAGAATTACAGAATTTACAGATCCATTAAGATGGACCCAACGAAGCATCAGTTAGTGACAATAACTTCCAGAGGGCAGCGGTGAAAGGAAAACAATTGCCTGTTTGCTGAAGACTTCCTGAAAAAAAGGCCAAAGGATAAAGGCAATGCTGGAATTTGTTGAAAAGTAGAGAGACCGGCCAAAAAAAAAAAATTGGGACAAAACCTGTGGACTAAAATGTAGTTTTTCCAAAGTAATTAAATGGCTAGCATTTGGAGAAAGAAAGATCTACTTGTGATCCTAAACCTACTGATATGAGCTCATTCATGAAATACCGTGGAGCTAATGTCATAGCTTGGGCTTGCATGGTTTCTTTTGTCAAGCGCGCCAATTTTCATTGAGAGTGTCATGGTGATCCTTGATTATTCCAGTTGGATTTGGAATCAGGACTTGTCCTCAGTTTTTCCTTGACTTGAGGAAAACCTCATACTCTACCTTCTGACGTGTCTGTCGTAAACTTGCATCAGTCAGTCCCTAATATGTACCTTATCATTCGTGTCCCAGGTATTAGGGTGCCTATGCCCGAAAGGATTCAGCGGGAAGTTTTGTGGCAATATTGCAGACCCGTGTAAAGGTAAGCCATGTTTCCGAGGGGTACCGTGTCAATCGAATTTACAGAGCGGGACCTTCAACTGCGGACAGTGCCCTAATAAAACTGTGTCCAACGGAAAGCAGGGATACAAGTGCTTTGAGCATGGTCAGTCACAAATAAATGGCTATCTTAAGGTTCAAACAAGCAATTTCACTCCTCAGTCTTGCTTCTCTGCGTACTTTCCCAGACATGTGCCTGCCCCCTTTTACCTTTCCCTGCCACAAGGATGCGACTTGCTTCAGCACAAAACAAAACTTCACCTGCACGTGCAAACCCGGCTTTTTCGGAGATGGCTTCAATTGTACTGGTATGGAACATCTTGGAGGGAAAGAATCCCACCGTCACACAAACTAATCCGCTGTCTGTGAATGTACTGAAGATATAGACGAGTGTGCCCAGATGTCAACATGTCCCAATGCCAAATTTGAGTGTAAGAACAAACCGGGATCTGTTGACTGCTTCTGCAGATACCAGAACGCTAAGGACTCTGATGGATGCGGTATGTAAAATCTGTTTTCTCCTTAATGGAAACTACTTTGTTAGAGGTACGTTCAAAAGAAAAGCAATATTGGAGTCCAATTGCTCATGATCTGAGCATTCACAAGGACTAACATGCAAATGTAATGAATTGATCCTTGCTGTACTTGGGACCACTATTAATGTACCGTATTGGTCCGACTATAAGACGACCCCCTCTTTTTCAAGACTCAAGTTTGAAAAAAAACTTAAAATTAAAATTAAAATTAATTTTTCTACAGAAAATAATTACAGTACATCTGAAACAAATAATTCTATCAATATATTTGAGAGAAAAAGCGTGTTATTTTGCCTCATTCAAATATCTGAACATTTAAATATGTAAACTAAAGTCCAATCACATTCGTAAATGAATGGCTTCTGGTTTTTGAAATGTAAATTACATCACAACTTCTCCTCAGCTGCCGGTCAACCTGGCCGGTCTTCGAGCCACTTTTCTCCAGATTGTCGCTATGTTTCTCCATTTTCTGTTATCTCTTTTATTATTTTCTTCTCTTTTCTTTCTTACCGCTATTTTTTATTTTTCTTCTTCGTGCTACCGCTATTTCTATTTTTATTCTTTGTGACAGGCGTTCGCTTTGGCCTGGGGAGTCAAGTTCAGCATTCGCTTCAATGATATCTGGCGCCATCTAGCGTCGTGAATGGGTATAACGTCTAGACCCCGAATATAGGACGACCCCCACTTTTTCAGTCTTATTTCAATGCAAAAAACACCATCTTATATTCGGACCAATACGGTAGTGGTCCCAATTTGCATAGCTTTACTTGCTGTGACATCAATAATACTAATACATGAATTATCTTTAACTGCGCAGGGGATTCTGCCAATCCTCCAGGTAATTAGTGGATCAATTGTAATACTAACCATGTCCATATTTGGTCATAAGATCATCACACAGGTGTTGATGGGTTAATGTGTCTACAGGGAGCAATGTGTTCAGTGTGTCTATGGATTGGAGGAGTAACAGAGCTGATGGCCTTGAGCAGGTGGGTTGGTGGGTCTGTGGCAATAACTGATTGCTGGAGGCTAGTGACAAGTTACAATGACCATCGTAAACAAATTAACAGACAAATATGTTTTTTCTTTGTTTTTTGTTTTTTTTTTTCCAGCTGGTAAACATTCTGTCCCTGGGCTTCCAGAACAAATTTTATAATGCCAGTGAGAAGGATCCAGGACAGAGTTCCAGTCCGCATCCAGTTGAGTATCGCATCAATGTGTCCAGTGACACACCTCACTGGTACATCAGAGACTACCTGGCCAGAGTCAGCAGCAACTATGACATCAGCAAAGTAGACGTTGATGGTAAACACACACTACTTTTCGGGATTTAAAAACGTTGTTTAAGTTTTGCAAATGTCTTCACACTATGATTTTCAGTGAGACAAGCAGTATCATCATATATTGAGTGTTGACCAAATATTTCCAGACTGCCTCTGTCTTGTCATACTAGAGTAGAAAATGTCTTGTTGGAGATTTGTCTCTCCAAAGTGCTCAATGCCTTCCCACCCACAGACCTGGATGAGTGTAAGGCCAAAGAGGCCGTGTGTGTGCACCCTGCACTTTGCATCAACACTTATGGAGGCTACAGGTGTGTGTGCAATGGCACCACTGATGTGGATGAAACACAGTCGTGCGTATTAAGTGAGTAGAAAGAGGAATGAGTTCTCATACTATATGCAATGAAACAAAGCCGAAAGAAATGCCGTGTTGTTGTCACTTTGCAGAAGAAGTCCGTGTCAAATAACATTTGTATTTCAAATTTAGCAGATAGGGACAACGTGAACAACAACAACAACAACAACGACAACCTAGACCTTATACTGGGCCTGGTTCTTGGCATTGGCATCCCCATGCTGCTTCTTCTGGCTGCACTGGCCTGTTTCAGCTGTTGCCGCAAGAAGACAGTGATTGGAGAGTAAGTCATGAGAGCGACATATATAACAACTGTTGATTAAACCTGCAAATTGCATCGGAGGGCTCCGCAAGCTGTGTGGTGTGCAATGCTCCAGAAGTTCTATCTGCCCCGCAATAACTTCTCATTCGTAACAACACTGGCCGCTGTCCTACCATAACTAGCTGGGACACTATTTTCATTTGTTAAAACAAAAAAAAAAGAGAAAGGCAAATGCATTATTTAAAGTACCGTAAACAAAACGCAGAGGTCACCACCATGGTGCACGTGGGCACCACGTTAGCAGCAGGCCTGTTCTTTAAAAAAAAAAAAAAAAAAGCTATCCTAGGACAGGACATGGTATTTTTTTAAGAATGTCGTACAAATAATCATTTGAACATGTACATTCAATACAGTGTTGCATATTGATAATTATCTGTTGCCTAATTATTGTGAGAATTCATTCAGATGCTCACGTTCTTGACATAATAATTCTTCATGAAAACAAAATAATACTAACATTCTTCAAGGTAATATGTGCAAATGTGTTATTTCACAAGCGGGTATTGTCACAAGCGAGATCTGACAGGATCAAACGATTAACATCGGGACAAAAGAAGTTGCTCTCAGCTTCAAAAAGATTGGTGAACCCTGTGCTAAACAAATAGTGTCATTTTTTAACTAAACATACAGGTATATGCACGTAATAATCACAGGCCATTGTTGGAGTTTCATATCTCCAGTGTATACTGAATGAATGGTTTGAATAATTCTGTACGTTGGATACAGTGCTCACTGGCCGATTTGAGTCCAAGGTGACTTTGTGCTGCATGCTGTGTCCATGTCTCGACAGATGTATGGCATCTGGGCTAGGTGTTAGAGGCACATAATCCCCGCGATGACTGGCCCGCTTTCTGTGTTTTACGTCAACTAGACCCTATGGATATAATGGAGGGGCGTGGCTCTCGTATTGTAGGATTACAATGTTGGATTAGATTGAATCATGATATGCTGAAGTGGGTGGGATGAAATCATCTTTCCAAGCTTGTGCTATGAGAACAAACAGCAATGCCCCGCCCCTCCTAAAAAAACAAACAAACAAAAAAAAAAAACATCCCATCTGCAAATAAGAAACCAAAATAAATCAAGTATATCTACCTATATCTATAATATTTTAGAATTTCATTTTATTTCTATTCTTATGGATTCTGCATTGGGGCCTGGTGGTCAACTGGTTAGCGCGTCAGCCTGACAGTGCAGGGTTGCAGGGTTCGATTCTGGCTTTCCTGTGTGGAGTTTGCATGTTCTCCCTGTGCCTGCGTGGATTTTCTCCTGGTACTCCGTTTTCCTCCCACGTTCCCATGCTCCTGTGTAAATTTCAATTCACACTGAACGCAGAAAGACAATCACGACACATCCAAATTACACAGAGCTGTTTGTCCCTCTTGGGCCACAAATGAGGTATAATAACACAAGTTAGCATGATTCGCAGTTTTTAAAAGGTAACGACTCACATTGTGCAAGTTGAAGATGTCTGCCTCCAAATTTTTGAAACTCTTCAGCCGCTAGACAGGATTATTGTACTTCTGAGAAAGTTAAACTGATGACTTCTTTTTTTCTTTTGTTTTCCTTTCAGTCTGCCTCACTTGTTAGCAGGTAACGTACGAGAAGCAAACAATCCTCACCCCTTCAACTACTCTGACCCTACTCTGCACTACGTGACCCATTGCAGTCCCCGGATCATAGACAACATCACACCCCGGCAACGCGTCAGATAGCACATGCTGAATTGACACCGTTGCATCCACTTTTGGAAAATACAGAAAAGACATCATTGCACACAGACATACAAAACATACCAGAAGCACTTTTGAAGCTGATGTTTTATAAAGAAGACCAATGACTTATTTATATTGTGAAAACAAGTAAACCTGAGTGACTTTCAAAGGCTGAATTTTGTCTTTTTCCTCCCGCTGAGTATTGGCCAAGTTTGATGAGGATGTTTGGATTTTCGCTCCTGCAAACAACTGTTTCAAATAAAAGTCGACAGCAGAGGAAAACAATCTCTTTTGGCAACAAGAAAATAATCCACTGCAGTGCTTTTGGCCTCCGGCTGAAATGCAGCCAGCAGCCTCCTTGATGAGCTCATTAGCATCTGCCACATACCTGGCATCAAACTACTACCCTTTGTCCAGCAAAGATTTTATCGATTGCGTCACTCTTCTCCATGCAATGAATCTCAAAACACTTTTATTTTGAAGTGAAAACTTCAAATGATTTTCATTGCTGGATTCTGAAGGGTTTTGCTCACATACCAGAATGTGAAAGTTACAGATTTTCTCCAGGTACTTCCCGACATTCCACAAAGACAAATCTTAATCTACAAATAAGACATTGTCGACAATTTTGAATTTGAGTGTGAATGGTAGTATAGAAAATTATGGATGGTTAACACGGAAGACCTCAGGCTTTTTTTTTGCTGTTCTTCTTCTTTTGAAAGCTATGTATGCTCTGGCCACCAGATGTCACTAGTGAGTCTTCCAAGCAAGGCAGCTCCATTCCGTTTGTTTATGAGCACAAGCAGAAATGCAGCACACCCACAGACACGTCGGCGAAATGACACCTGCTCTGCAGCCTTCATCTGGTGGTGGCCACAGAATGAGATCATTCTTAAGGAGGTAGGCCTGTGGGTCTCCACCCCTGCAGCAGCAGACCTGACCTATAGTCCAGCAAGGCAAGAACACAGCGCTCTTTAACACAGTGCACTTGTCACTTCCTTCTTAGTGGTTATATGCAAAAGTACACAGCTACCCTGTATGGCCTCAGGAACACTTCTCGGTTCTCCTCTCTATTTACATTTCTGAGGGAGAGGTGTGTGCGTAGACCACATTAAGTATTTTGCAAAGGGGAAAAACTCCAGATCCACGTGATAGACAACGACACGTGACTCGGAGAAATAGCCAGTGAAGGTGAAATCATCCTTGCAAGAGAAATTTGAAGGGCCACGCTTCTGGAAGGTCCAAGTAGCAATTTCATGAACACCAGCTCCTGACAGAGACTGCAGCACAGAACCTGGAGGCAAGCCATCCGGGGAAGGAGGAACGACAGAGCCAAAGATACAGTCGATAGTTGACAGAAAAGTGGTAAAGAAAAGGGAGTGTGTCAGGATTTGCCACTGGCACTCAATGTGACAACCATTAAAGACACTGTAAAGTGAATTCAAACATTTGTTTCTGAATACATTATGCATGTTTGAAGATAATCATACAAAGACATGACAACGTTGTCGTAAGTCACTTGTGCAGAAATAGCATTCAACAGTTTTTCAGCATTTCAGGCAAAGCAACACGCCTCGGTTTCCCGTCATACTCGATCACTGATATTCACTGTTGTGTCCAAAAAACCTGAGGACGTGACATATGGCCATTTACCAAACTGCTACATTCACGTCAGTGGTTATCGATCAAAATTGCGACATGCAGTTAGCTAGCTAGCTAGCTATGCCCACACCCTGAAACAGCATTTCCCTTCAAATAGTTTGCTGCCGTGGCCACATTAGAGCGCCACGCTGTTGGCCGTGAGTCCAGGCATGTCACTCAGAGAAATCCCAAAATGTGAAAGCATGGGATATTTTTTTAAGGCATGGGATATATATATTTTTTTCAAGTCTGACTAAACAGCCAAAGTGTGGAGTGGGGCTTTGCTCTGGCATAGCTGCTTTAGAGCGCCTCTTTGTCATGTTTGTGACTCAAACATATAGTTCTGTACAGGCATAGCAAAGAGATGCTACACAAAGTAGCATCCATTTGTAATAGTTATATTTTCTTGATGGCGGCACAGTGGTCGACAGGTTAGCACATCGGCCTCACAGTGCAGAGGTGTAGGGTTCGATTCTGGCTCCGGCCTTCCTGTGTGGAGTTTGCATGTTCTCCCCGTGCCTGCATGGGTTTTCTCCGGGTACTCCGGTTGCCCGATGACGGCTGCGATAGGCTCCAGCATGCCCACGAAACCTCGTGAGGAAAAACAGATTAAGAAATGGATGGATGGATGGATTGATATTTTCTTGACAGTTGGCAGTATTTTAGATTAGAACAGAATGATTTTTTTTTTTAAATTTTGAAGCGTTACTTTTATAGACTTGTTGATGTTTTTTTTTTAAACTCATTCAAATTGCCATAGTTAAGAACACTGTGTTACAGTATATTAAATTTGGAGGATATCTTTACATTTACTTTGCAGGGACTCTAAGTGGGTTTGCCCCTCTTATCCCCTCCAATAAAACAAAGACAAAAAACTAAGGACACATTTTATGCTATATCCATTTCATCACAACACGACTGAAACAGGCAGGCACGGCCAAATCCTCTTATCCGATTTGAGGCCATTAATCATTTCTGCCCCGTGATGTAATTTTGAAAAACAAGTCATTCGTCATTAACAGGTGGGCCAGCGTGCTCGATGAGATTGGCTGATATACAGCAAGCCCGTTGTTGGACTTTATACGGGTAATACTGTTATTGCACGACTGTAAAAGCACCCATGCTTACTTGAAATGCTTTGCTATGGGCTCACGTACATTGTCCACAAATGATCGCACCCATTTCATCTTGTTTTACACTCAGGACACACGCATTGAGCATGCATGCCAGTTCACACATCCAGACACAAGGAAAAACAAACACGCTGAAACACATAGTTGGCGTAATTATCTTTTCATTGACAATGGTGTGCAAACACCGGACATTCTCTCCCATGAAAGGTGATCCACTCCTCTGGCATTGAACCAGCAGGTGCATTACAGAGCCTCATTCATTTGTAATGGTGTCTTTCTGTTATGCAGGTAAACATATTTGTCATTTGCCTTGCATGGTCCTCAAATGCTGGTAAAGACACCTTCTTGAAATATGCTTGCATGAGATAAGGACTGATGCTAACTGCCATCAATCTGAGTGATGTTAAGGATGGAGGGGTGACTTCAACATTGCCTGTGCTGAGCTGTTGTGAACTTTGAACCCGCTTGGAGGCAAATGAAAGCTGCTACTTCATTATAGTCTCCTGGGTCAGGCAATGACAGATAAGGACCCTTATAGTTATGTGTACAAGTTACATATTCACAGAGGTGATAAAAAAGCATGCATGATGAAAGGTGGATAAGCTTGTACTTAAACCCATTTTTTAAAGTTAATGTCATTTTCCAAAAGTATGACACATTTTCATGACACACACCGTGTCATGAAAGTCTTGTTTTGCTTACATCACTGAGATTGGTTTGTGGTTTTATGGAGCAGCAAGTCGCATCTCTTAAGATCCAATATGGGCTTTCCATATTAACCTTTAACCTTCAATCACCTTTGTCCTTCATCTGGACCTCCTTCAGAGACCAGCGCCTTGTTGAAAGGAGCAGCTGGCTATACATATTGGTGAAGATTGGCAATAGATACTGAGGCACTGGGCAAAGAAGAGGGCTATTAATTAAAACATTCATGCCCCCAATAATAAACTATTGTATCCAAACAAGAGTTGCACTGGAGTCTTTGACCTTTATTGGTACATAATAATGTCAATGTCAATGTCACGTGACATCCATTTCCATGTTCTTGGCCACTTGTATGTAGAACTACAGGTTTTATATGTGGTCATTCATTCACGCATGCTCCAATTTATCTGGTTTGTGTAACAAAGTTAGGCCTTTTGTTTCGTCACCTTTTTGCATTTCATAATCTTCAGTGAAAAAAAAACTCCTATGTGCTCAAGATTATGCAGGTTGCATGAAAAAAAAAAACAGTCTGAAACAGTCTGGCTGACTGTGAGGCTGCACAGTTGATCACATGACCAGGCATTACCACAGATGGAAGCGGGAACCATCGTGTATTCTCTGTGAAGAGATGCTGGAGATTCATACCTTCTCTCCCAACCTCCTCCTCTCCTCTTGGAGCGGGCCTGAGACAGGTGGCCACTGGGAGACAAGAAGTGCAGTCAAGCAACAGTAATCATGCAATCAGATACTCCCTTTGCACTAACTGCATAATTAGATCTGAAAATGCATGTGACAAATATGCTCAGGGAGGTGTCCACATAGTCACCCATAGCTAACAATCACATACGTGTGCGTCTCATAATGCCTGCATTGATCATTTACATTGTGAGTCCCTAGTTGGGATAGCAGAGTTTTCGACAGCATGGATGTGAACATCCTAATGATATTATTATTAGTAATGCACTGTAATTTGATTTTACTAAATGGTCACAACAAGCTGATAAATCGTAGGGAACGAGTGACTCAGCTCTAAATACATGTAGCAGAGAAAAACTTAAGGAGTTCCCTTGATGACGCCCATCTGTATATAGTGTACACACTAGCTAGCCTGCTGTGGATGTAGCACTAACAGGCAGGATGTCAATGGCTACTGGCTAAGATGCAGCGAAACGCAGAAAATGGGAGTGACGCATTGCAGGTAAAAACTAACCAATCACAGAGCGCCATTTCTTCCAGCAAGGGCGTGTGCCTCATCACAGACAAGCAGAGGAGATACATACGCTATAAACTAGAACACCGTTAATTCAAGTATATAATTCGTCTTGTCACAATCCGAACCCTCACAGAAGACACAGGCGCATGTAAAGAAGTATTTCGTGAATTATTTTATGGTTGTGGCTTCAAGAGGTCTCAAATGTATGCTTTTAGTCGTACGAAAAAGATGGCAGTGAGCGGAGGGATATTGAAAAGAGGCGGAGTTTAGGATAACGGTTAAAGGCGAGCCCAGTTGCTGTCGGCCGCGGCGTGTTCGTCATTCCGGCTGGCAGTGTGGCGAGGTTACGCGGTAGCATAGACGAGTAGCGGATTTTCGTCGTGAATAAGGAGCTCCATCTACGTCGACATGGTAAGAGAGAAAAAAAACAATTCGTTGTCGTTTTCGAGTTTCGAGTGGCGATGGCGAAGTAACGGCATGGAAATTATTTGCGATGTTTCCCAAATCCCGCACTGCTACCGAATACTTACAGGGCTTGCTTGGCGCTAATAATGCTTAATTACCAGAGTACGTAAGTGATATCCTCGGTTGGCTTTGTCTGAAAATGAAAGTAACGAATGTGCTCGGGTATGCCGTTCGTTTTCTCTCGACGCAGCGTCATGGTTGGGTGCTCGTAACACTTTGATGCACATTCTACGTTACCTTTTATGTAAATGCTTCTCTTCAAAGCATATTCCTGCTGCTGGTTGTAGAGACAACTCTTCTACCTAGCAGCATGTGACGACTGTTGCGTTACAGTAAGCGTCGTTTCTAAATGAAGTATGAGCATGCTCTCGAGAGACGCCGTAGCTTTATCCAGGCTACCATTACGTTGGCGCCAAATTGCAAGGACGTGTGTGTGTGTGTGTGTGTGTGTGTGTGTGTGTGTGTGTGTGTGTGTGTGTGTGGCCATGTGTGTACTTGAGTGTGTTATACACCATTTGCTGGCTTTCCGTGGTTACAAATTTTCGTGTCACTCGCCCCATTGAGGATGAAACAAAACACGCGCGCGCACACACACACACACACACACACACACACACACACACACACACACACGCACACACGTATACAGGCACACATGCACGCACACACAGAAATATGGTAATTTGAACTTTGTTTCACCCGAAAAATGCTGCTATGACATGGGTCTATACACCTTTTCACAATTTTTTCCTCTCCTGTGTGTCTTCCTCATCTCTTCATCGGCATTATTTTCTTTTCCAATTCTCCATCCAAGGACCCCCGAAAAGCTGTCATTATGTTTTTATTTCACACATTTTATTGACATGTACTGCATAGAGAGAGGGAAAGAAGACAGCATCTCAAAAAGTAGGTCAAGTTTACTCTATGGTCAGACGTCAAATACTGTAGGTCATAATTATGCTGTAATGCATAAGCTTTCATTTGATCATTTTGTCTTCTTTTTTTTCATTTGAATTATTTGGCCAAAATCCTATTACTTTGGAATTTATTGGCTATGTTATGGTGGAAATACTAATTTACTCGTACTCTTAACTGATTCAGTTGCCTTGTCAGTGTAGTTGTACACATGACTTAAATTCATGGACACGGCCAGGCAGCTTCTCAGTGACTATTGGTGCGCATGTGGTTGTAATGTTGTCTTCGCGCTCTGTGATTGACTGGCAATGAGTCCAGGATGTGGTCTTCCTTTCCTCCACAGTCAGCTGGGATTGGCTCCATCTTCCTCTCGTGTGTGTGTGTGTGTGTGTGTGTGTGGCCATGTTCTCATGTGAAAAACGCTCCACTTGAAATGGATGTCATGTGGAGGGGTGTGCTCAAGGCGGGAGCCGCTCTCTGCTTCCCTTTTGGATTACTTAATGAGTTTATAATTCCAGTTTTCTTTCTAATGTGTATCTTTGTTACACCTGTCTTGAGTTCCGCCGCTGGCAACACTAGAGTGGTTTCTAATGCAGATTTGTCATTTTTGAATTGTTTCCTTTCCAGGCTGATCAGCTTACAGAAGAGCAGATTGCCGGTAAGCCATTGCATTATTGCTCTAGAGCTGCTTTCCTCACTTTCTCCCAAAAGGGCCTGCATTATTGATCCTTGCATCTCTTGGAGAGGGATTGCTGTACTTTTATGGAAACCTACTTATTTTAAGATAGGGAATGAATGAAAGTGCCCTGGCACTGAAGGGTTCCCCTGTGGAAAATGTAGCATTATCATCGAATAAAATGATGTAATCCAGCAGGGCTGTGTGTTCAGTGAGCATGATGTCCTTTGCCCAGGGTGTGTCCGCGATCGAATGAGAACTTCCGGAATAGTTTAATTTGAAACCTAAACGTGTTTTTATCGCTAAAGTGGCAAATTTCCGCCCGCAGTGTTTACCATATGTCACTTGTGTAAATCGGTTAACTTCTCTGATTTCATTAGTAATTGTTACTGAAGTTAATGGCCTGCTTTTCACTGGCAAAATGTTTTTTGCATTTCAGAGGCAGTTTTTAGTTCAATTATTTTAAGGCGTTTGTCAACCAAGCACAATGTGCTCTGCTACCTTGGAAACAGTGGCTTGCAGTGTCCTCACATGAAGCAGTCAGACCTCATTATGCAGTTTTCTTTTGCTGAAGAACATGTTGGCCTTTGGTGTTGATCTTGCAAATAGTTGGCTTGGTTGTTGCATGCATCACATAGGCCTTGTACTTGAGTGTGTCATCAGTTTTCAGCCCTCATGGTGTGCTAAATAGCGTAGGGTGTCATTAGCCCGCTAACTGGAACTCTGTTTGCCGTCGCTCTTTGTTGAACTAGAACACATTGCCTATGGAGTATGCAAACACAGAGTTGATATTGGAAACAGAAGTGACATAATTTCTCTGTGACTGTCCCCTCAGAATTCAAGGAGGCGTTTTCGCTTTTTGACAAGGACGGGGATGGCACCATCACCACCAAAGAGCTGGGCACAGTTATGCGCTCTCTTGGGCAGAACCCCACAGAGGCGGAGTTGCAGGACATGATCAACGAGGTGGATGCTGATGGTGGGTGGCCTCCAAACGTTCCCGAGGTGTGGTAACTTGGAATCGTCTCCTTGACACATGTTGCTTTTCAGGAAACGGTACGATAGATTTCCCAGAATTCCTGACGATGATGGCCAGAAAAATGAAGGATACGGACAGTGAGGAGGAGATCAGAGAAGCATTCCGTGTCTTCGACAAGGTGAATGACCCCTAAACAGTAGCGGTTTATCGATGAATACTGAAAGTTAAGACAGTGATTGATGGCCCATTCAGGATGGGAACGGCTACATCAGTGCTGCTGAGCTACGTCACGTAATGACAAACCTCGGGGAGAAATTAACTGATGAAGAAGTCGATGAGATGATCAGAGAAGCGGACATTGATGGTGACGGACAGGTCAACTATGAAGGTTGGTATTTGCAATTGTGTTAAATATTTTTCAGACATGTTGTTAATCCCTTGTCATTCCCCTTCCCCACAGAGTTCGTACAAATGATGACGGCGAAGTGAGGGCCTTGTACAGATTTCGTATATAAATTTGCCTTTTTCTTTGTGTAATTTATCTGTAAAATCTTATTAACCCCCTGCGTCCCTGCCCCACTGCTGTCCAAAGGAACTGCATGTAAACTGCATAGGCTCTTGTCCCCATGTCCCTTTTTTTTCTTTTGTTGTCATGGTGTTTGAGTGACAAACGGTCATCCAACCAGATGCCTGCGGAGGCCCTTGGGAGCCGGAGGACCGACTCCTCTGTATTGTGCTCAGGGCCTTTTCTGGCAAGGCGACATTGGCAACCTGTCAGCTGGTTGTCACTTGGCAACACCGTTGGCATGGAAACAATGTAGAGGAGTTGAAACTCTGCATGGACTATGGACAAAGTATATGTGGGAAATCTCTCAGCATTGCACTACTGCAAAAAAAAAAATGACACGGGTGTATCTCCTAGGTACTCGTACAAACTCTTTTTGTATCTGCTGTTCTATATACCAGAAAATGACTAATCTTACCATGCTTTTTAATGTTTTACTCACTCATTTTCTTCTTTTTTTTTTTTTTTATGGCCTCTGGCCATGCCTCAAATAATCCATTCCAAGTTGTATATTTTTGTTTTCCAATAAAATTTACAATCTATCCAGATTGGAAAATTGGTCTTTTCTCAGTTTTGAATGACGTAACTACCATTTTATTTTTATTTTTTGTATTGAGGGCTGCATGCTGTTTTTAATGGCGAAATACTCCTCCTCCCCCACTTTGCTTGTATGTCACATTTGAAACTGGTGTCACCTGTCATTTCCCAAATGCACTGAGGAGCATTAGCCAATGCCTCTTAACGTAAGATGGTTCAGATGAAATCTTTTAGTCTGACAAAAGCAAAGTGGGGCAAATTTTACATCGGAAGTGTGCGCAACAGTAATTGACATTAGAATAGTCAGGTGTCATCACTGGCCACAGGCTGTGTTGTCTTCTGTTGGCATTGCACCATGTCTTATTTAGCCTGGTCTTAGGGCGCTGGGGAAGGAGCATACATCAAACTGGTGTAAATAAAGGTGTACTTTTTTTTTTTTTTTTTTAAGATTTCTAGTTGAGTTTGTTACAGTAGCTTGCAGGTATACTAAGTTGGTTATTTTTGACATAATAAAGCTCTATTGTTGACCACTGCCTCCTTTGGATTTTGTGTCATGAACTTTGTAGTTTGGTGCCCCTCGATGCAAGTTAGTGTGACTCAATTCACGGTATTGTTGAAAAGCGTTTTATATATGATAAAAGGAAGTAAGGAGCCATGTCTAACCTTGGCTTTGTGTTGCTTGGACAATGTCCTTTATCAGTGTTCCGTGGAGATTACTGAAAACAGTACATAGGGCGTGACTGTAATCACAATGCAATACAGTAGCCTACATTTATGGTCAAATAAATTCCTGAGTTTATCAAACAGGATTGCTTTAGTTCTTGTATTTGCTTGCCCTAGAGTTTCATGTTTGAACAAGTTTAATTGAATGAATGCAATTTACATGTAGGTCCATACGTACACCCGGTCGGTTCGGTCTTTCCCTGTCACATTTGCCAACCGATAAGTTTAAACTTGGCTCACAATGAAGTGAGTCAGCTTGTTTAAAAATTGATTGTGAAGTCGCTGCTATAGTAACACAGTTTTAATGGTGCTAAGGTGTCAGTGGATTTCCGGTCAGCCAGATAGTGAGCAGAGCTGAAATGAGTACCGTACATTGCAGCATGACACCTCATGGAATAACAGCGATGTCTCTCAAGGTAGGTGACAAATGGAGTGCTGCTCACAGAGCAGATAAGGTAAGGTCCTCGATGTGTGATTTCAAATGAGTTGTCATGTTTTTGCAATTGCCATGACAGTTGCCATGACAAAGTTACCACAGCAGAGACTATTGTGTCTTTCGGCCTACATCCTATGTTGATTTCCCAGGCGATAGGCAAGAAGAGCTTCATGGTCACTGGTGACTGGTGGGAGTGAGAAAGGCTTTTGTTAAATTGTCATATGCTTTGTCACGTCAAGTCGATCAATAGCTTGTACCAGCGGTGTCAAACTCATTTATGTCGTGGGCCACATTTTAGTTATCGTTTCCCTTGGAGGGCCGTTATGACTGAAACAAAATTTAAAAAGTCAACTACGGTTTATTCAATTATTGTTTAAGTTACTGTAATGAAGGGTTTGGTTACAAGAAAATGCTTACAATATGTCTCTTATTTATTACGTATGAGGCCATAAAAAATAATGTGGCGGGCCAGATCTGGCCTGCAGGCCTTGAGTTTGACACTTGTGGCTTATACAGTGGCACCTTCAAAGTCATTCAAAATCTGTTTCAAATCAGTTTGTTTTTTTCTTGATAAAGTATATTTCAAGGAGCCTATTCCTTGTCAGCACAAAACCTTATATAGAATGTTAAAGTCACAAGTTACATTTCAACTTAAATCTAAGATTAAACCACTGTTAATAATCAGAACATTAAACAATATGTGTGTACTTAGAATTCAATCTTTTCACACTGTATCACTGATTGGCACATTTGTAAAATGTTTCACATGTTCTGTTTAGGATACTTCAATGACAGGCCTGGATCGCATCCGGGAATTGATCGAGGAATCTGACGTGAACCCTATTAGGAAGAGCTGTGGCTTTAAAGGCACTGACCGTGAACGTCAGCCGATGGGATTGAAAACAGGGGAAGTGCCGATGCGCCAGGCAATGGCATCCTCCTCTTTCAAAATGCGTCCACGGCCTGATGTTGTCACTCTGGGGATTCGGGACAAGGTTGGGTTCATTTAAAACAGCCCAATTAGAAGGAGAATTCAATTGAGACTTTCTCAGAAGGCAGAGAACTGAGCTAAAAACTCACCAAAAGAGAGCTTCTGGTATCATGATGTACAACTCACCATTGTAATATTTGCCCTCTAACATAGGGATTGACAGATCTCTTTATTCCTCTTCCATATTCTAGCATATAAACACTTCACCGTGCGATTACAATGTGACAGCGAAACCGGTGGAGAAGATGCCCCGCAAGTAAGCATTTGACACACAAATCACAATGGTGCGAGCTTCAATCTGTTTCTTCTCCTAACTTCTCCTTCCTTCTCTCATTTCCTTCTCCAAGCACAAAGATAGAGGAGAAATCCCCACTCTGTTCTTTCGTTTTCTCTTTACTTTCTGTTCATCATTGTTCTTTTTTTTTTTTCTTTTATGACAGTCCCATCGTTCATTTTCTTCTCCGCAGGCATGCTATATTTCGGTCAAGCGTGCAAAGGATCCCCTTTCCACCCGTAAGTATTTGATCACCAAGACTCCTTATTCAGACCAATCAGTCTTTCCACCGCTCACAAAACGGCTTTGTTCCAAAACACTTACAATAGGTTTTGGTTACAAGTTGTGGCCTTTTGTAATGTGTATCTGGTTTGGGTCACGCACGAGCAGGTTACAACAACCCCAAGAGCCAAAGAAAACCGATTCCCCTATTTGAAGGCGCGTGTGGTTCACCTTAGGCTCATATTGCAGCGTGTTGCAGCCTTCACCGAGTCGCCATGACGGTAGCTGATGGATATTTGAGACACGTTGGCAGCTGCAGAGTGTTGACACAGAAGGAAAGGCGCAAAGAAATCCCGAGGGTGTTATTACTGCAGAGTTGGGAGCAGTTTTCTGCTGTTAGTGGTGTCACGGTGACTCCGAGATATGTTAATTGTCAAAGGTTAAGCTCATTACACAAATCCTGCGGCAAACTTAACTCGACAGTTTGTCATCGCATGTTCATGCGCACATGAACATGCATCATTGACATCTTGTTGATTTTAAATGATCAACTTTCATAGAACGTTCCCAAACGTCAGTGGCTATTTGGTTATATCGCTCTCCCGTTAAGTGCAAATGCATAAGCACTTGGCACATTTGGGAGAATCCTAGACCAGCTCAAGAGAATCAAATAGGGCAGTGATTCCATGGCACATTAGTGTGCCGCGAGAGATCATTAGGTGTTCGCAGGAAATTATGTCAATTATTCATTCATTCATTTTCTGATCCGCTTTATCCTCACAAGGGTCGCGGGGGGTGCCGGAGCCTATCCCAGCCGTCTTTGGACAGTAGTCGGGGGACACCCTAAACCGGTTGTCAGCCAATTGCAGGGCACACAGAGACGAACAGCCATACGCGCTCACAGTCACATTTAGGGACAATTTAGAGTGCTCCATTAACCTGCCATGCATGTTTTTGGAATGTGGGAGGAAACCGGAGTACCCAGAGAAAACCCACGCAGGCCCGGGGAGAACATGCAAACTCCACACAGGGAGGCCAGAGCTGGAATTGAACCTCTGCACTGTGAGGTCGATGCGCTTACCACTGGACCACCGGGCCGCCCCATCTGTCACTTATTTGGAGAAAAAAAAAACCCATACCGGTATATGTAGTTTGGGAAACACTGAAATAGGGAACTACCATTCAGTCACCTCCCTCTGTCTGGATCATAGTGAACTGGAGATGGCCCTGTGGGGGGGGGGGGGAACAGTTGAATGTTTGAAAATGAAACTGTAGGGTTGGTTTTATTTTTGCCTCACGTGCACGCCAATATTTGTGGCTGTTGATGTGAGGAAGTGAAAGGCAGCATAACGTGCCACATAACTTGTGGTGGCAACTATTATTAAAAAATGATGTTGCTACATGGCGACCCACTGGCTGTGAGACAATAGACTCCAATGGTTACGTTTTAAGTATTTGAGTAATTATTTTGATTCCCAAATTTGCTGTGTAGTGGATTGGATCAATTATTGTCCAATACAAAGCGTTGAAAATGGCTCGCTCTTTTTCTTAACGCCATGTGAATGGTTGAACAAATGTCTTTTTGGGGGGTCTCCTGAAAAGTGCTGATTTTGAAAGTATGAATCGGTCCAACGTCAACGATATATCTAAAAAAAAAGACCAAGCAAAACTTACTTTCTGTATGACTTTATATCTAAAAAAAAAGACCAAGCAAAACTTACTTTCTGTATGACTACCCCAGAAGGAAGGCCCTGCTCCGGGTGCATACACTCTTTCAAGCAAACCTGCAGATGGTATTACTTCCTGTTTCAAATCCAAGTTGCCACGGCTCCACAGTGTACACTCGGTGAGTCTTTCATTTTTCTTCACAGTCACTGGGAACTTCCTGAACATGCTGTATAGTTGTTTTTTAAAAATCTGGTTCATTGAAATGCAACGTTTTCAAGATATTAGAAGGATAATTGAATGATAATTTAAATATGAAAATATTTGAATTTACTGGGGGTCATAACGTGAACAAATAAGGTATGCAATCGATGTTTTCTTTTATTTTATTCTATTAAGTGATATAAGCGAGAATATTTTGTTTTATCTGCGAGCCAGATGCAATCATCAAAAGAGCCACATATGGCTCGCGAGCCATAGGTTCCCGACCCCTGGTCTATTCGGTGTACTTACTGTATGTGTGAATGTTGCTGTTACCCAATCCAGGTGACACCAGGGCCAGGAGCGTACGAACCCCACTGGAAGTGGCTTGACAACCTGACACTGAAGACGACGGTGGAACCATCATTCAGTCTCCTCTTCCGTAACACTCCTTAGTCCGACAATTTAAGAGTAGCCCCCATGCCAGTGATGTTGTCTTCATCCAGTAATAAATGTGAATTGAATTTACCAAACCTGCAGCAGCTTCATAACCTTGCCTGCATTCTGAATTCTGACAGTACTCGTGAAGTCACAAAAACCCGAGAATCCATCTTGTCCCGCTGTTTTCCTCCAAGCCGCACCATCATTTATGAAGCAACAGTGTGTTTGGGGGTGGGATATGGGTCCAAGACTGGGGGAAACAAACAAACCAAACATGGTGTCATCGGTGGACGAATGTACGGTTGCTGCACTTAATGAATTAATTACGGCCTTTATCCGTACACTTAAACAGCAAAAATGACAAACATCAGTCAATGCCATGATGTCGTCTGTGCCAACCATCGAGATAACAGGACTCAACTGGTCAAAACAAGACGCATGCCGGTGATGACATTTTGGTCAAAACACAAGTTAAAGGTAGGCGTGCACAAGTTGCCACATCGCCCAACCAGTTCCAAGTTTTGCATTGAATGTCCCGCATTTCCAGAGCAAATCACATTGCCAGATTGATCCTGTGAGAACTTATTCGAGTGATTCACATGATCAATCTGGCTCTTGCGAGGTTAGTCTCTTAATGCTTGGACTTATGTTTATCTACATAGATTTTCTGGTCTGCCAACAGTATAATAAGCTACATCTGTCGCTGAAATCACTGGAGTGACGGCGGCCAGAAAAGCAGAATGATCTTATCTGCGACAAAGGGTACTTTATTCCACTTAACTACATGTTCCCAGTGTTGCTGTCACCCTTCATGTTTCCGCTGCACTTCTCTCACTCCTTTCGCTTCCTCGCTGTTGTTGGCAGTCAGGCAGCTATGCCTTCCTACTATCTCTGCCCTGCGATGCACTCAGGAGGAGGAATGCTGCTCAGCCATGCGTCACATGCACATAGCTTCGTGTGGCATGCTGCTCCCTCGGATAACACATTCAGCATTATGAGCCAAGGCAGTGGCACACAAAAATACGGCTATTCTTATCGCTACCGACTCTGCATACTCTACGTTCTTTCGGCAAACCTAACGCAGCCAATCATTTGGGGAAGTAAAGAATGCAGCAATGGGGGTAATCGTGGCCTTCATTACAGGGAGCAATAACAGTCTGAAGATGTCAACCATGTTCTTCTTTAATTTAATGATCTAGGACTACAGTACATGCTTAGCATACTCATATAGCTAGCATTTATTTCAGCATTTAATTTATCCATCCATCCATTTTCTGTTCCGCTTTATCCTCACAAGGATCGCGGGGGGTGCTGGAGCCTATCCCAGCCGTCTTCGGGCAGTAGCCGGGGGGCACCCTGAACCGGTTGCCAGCCAATCGCAGGGCACACAGAGACGAACAACCATCCACACTCACACTCACACCGAGGGGACAATTCAGAGTGTTCAATTAGCCTGCCATGCATGTTTTTGGAATGTGGGAGGAAACCGGAGTACCCGGAGAAAACCCACGCAGGCCCAGGGAGAACAGGCAAACTCCACACAGGGAGGCCGGAGCTGGAATTGAACCCGGTACCTCTGCACTGTGAGGTCGGCGCGCTAACATTGGCCCACCGGGCCACCGCACTTCATTTATCCATCCATATTATTCATTTGCTCCCATGCCAGGAGATTTACAATAAAACTGGTGAGAGCAACCACATTTGGCATTGACTCACTCAGGAGCTAAAAATATAGAGTTGTACAGTACGATGTTACTGTGTGTCAGAATTTTCATAGATTCATTCTGAAAACCATTTGTGAAGTCAGAGGTCGCTGATTTTAGATGAGAGTGTCTGGCTCACAATCTCTATTTTAATTCGTCCCAAAGCTGTTTCATGGGGTTAAGATCCAGGTTCTAGATATGAGTGAGCCACTTTCTTCCACACTTTTATGGACCTCGCTTTGATGCAGAAAATAGGTTGACCCAACTCTCTCCACAAAGCTGGAAGCAATGAAGGAATGATCTGAAATATGGTGAACAAATAACCCTTTCAGTTTATCAGTTTACAGGGTGCATTTAAAGGGTTAAGATCTAATGTAAACTGTTCATCTTAATAACACAACTATAAATAATACGTTTTGTCTGACTACAGCTTAAAATCACGATTGAGTACATTAAAAATCCATCTAAAAATCAACGACAGTTGAATGACTGTCTTACAAGTAATGTGTTTTCCACTACTAGTACGATGAAATGTCTTACTAGTCAGGAAAAAGAGTGTATTAATACAAGTAACTTATACTGTACATCAAGGATATCAAATATATTTTTCATACAGTAGCATGCGGGTGTCAACTACTGTAGTGTTTTGTCTAGCTAGTTTTGTTAGCCAGTTAGACTTCATTAGCTAGCATGTTTGACTAGCTTATTGCATGTACACAACGAGTATGTTCTTTGATATTAATAGTTGGACAAATGACGATGGATTTTAAGGCGGAGACATACGTGCTACAAGAGCACTGGGCATGAGGATGCGACACAGTGGTATCACTTAAGTGTTTTATTTGGGATGGCTGTCACACGAACAGTGCGGCACATTAGCACTTGCATGTCTAGGCTGCCATTTGAATCCCGACCACGTCATTTCACACTTGTGAACATGCAAGATGAAGACTGAAAGTACGATGGCGCATGCCTGTCATTGTGTTCGCGAATCATGAACAGCCATTCTTCCTGTGGAGGCCAAGCCCTCGGTAATCTGCCTCTCTCAACCTTCAGAGGCCATCCTGCCTTCTCATCTCAGTCATCTCTCCAGTCCGCTGCTGATCTCTGACATATGCCTCATAGCGACAATTTAACACCCTCCGTCTTTTGTCGGAGCGGCCACCCACCTGTTTCTTCACTGCCAATCAAGCTCCCCCCGAACCCTGTACGGTACTATACTTAAATAATAACGTATATTTGGGAACAATATGATGAAACTCAGTACTATTTTTAGGCCAATGAAGGTGTGTTGGTGTTTGCAGGCCATGCGTACGGTACTATACTGAAATAATAACGTATATTTGGGAAGAATATGATGAAACTCAGTACTATTTTTAATTTCATTGGCTGGCAGTCAGCTCAAAGTGTATTCTGTCTCTCACCAAAGGTCAGCTTCGATAGACTCCACTCCAACCCACCAAAAACACTAAAGCAGTATTTAAAAAAAAAAAAAAAGGATATCATGTACAGTATTTTATTTGATTAGTCAAACTGTACCATTGTAATTGTCCAAATTTGGAAACATTTTCCTAGCCACGCAATGCTCGGCAGAGTTGTGCTAAGTCAGTAAAGTATGTTCCCAAAGGCCAATGAAGGTGTGTTGGTGTTTGCAGGCCATGGCCACTTGGCAATTAGAATGGAAAACTAGGGTCTGGTGTTGCTGTACCGGAGGAGAGAAACTGACAAAAAGAATTACACGCAAACATTTTTTTTTCCATTTTACACTCTGAAATGACATCTAAAATATATACAAATGGGAAAAGTAAATTCTGCAATATCTTATGAGTACACACTTCTTTGTCTGTTTAAAACATGAGTGGACTAGAGAACACTCACATCTCTAGAAAATGTGATACTGTATTTTGTTCATTCAATTTTGGTGACTGAATGCATACAACCCCCTCCTGTATGAGAAACGGCTTTTATATAAACTGTACAGGAATTGATAATAACTGACAGCAAAACATGCACACCACACATTAGCACCCAGAGAGAGCAAAATGTTCCACACATAATGTACCACGGATATTTTTAACAGCGCTACTATTTCAAGTGAAGAGAAGGCGATTTAAGTGTGATCGAAGATGCAAGTTGCGCTGACACTGTGGAATTATATAATTCAAAGGTCATGAGTTGATGATCTGCACGAACAACGTTGGTTTTCTGAGCACGGTTTCCAGACAGAGCTGGCAAGCGTACTCAGATTCTGTACTTAAATATAAGTTGAGTCATATTTGTGTCACGTTCCTGTTTGCTTTTGGTTTCAGTTTCCGGCGGGAGTCGTGGGCGTTTGCCTTTGACGCCGCACCTGTCACGTATTACCATGAGTGGACTACGTAAGGACTGCTACATCGAAAATTTACCGTTGGATTATTTGCCTTGATTGCAGCCCATGCGGCAAGTGCTTATTGTCTAGACCAGGGGTGGGCAATCCTAGTCCTGGAGGGCCGCTATCCTGCATGTTTTCCATCTGTCCCTGTTGCAACACACCTGATTCAATTGTTCAGGCCTCGACAGAGCTTGCTGATGATCTGATCATTTGAATCAGGTGTGTTGGAGAAGGGACAGATGGAAAACATGCAGGATAGCGGCTATCACCAATCCCGTTACTTGATTGACATAGAAGGCAACCAATCAGATGACTGAATCACCGCTCATGCGCAGACAACGGCGCTAAGTGCTAAGCTAGTCAGCTTTAGTTGAGCTAGTTACCTCTGTTTTTAAGGCAGGGGTGCCCAATACGTTGATCGCAATTGGCCAAGAGCCAGCACGCTGGTCCCAAGTCGACCGCGAGCGGTGGGAGGAGGAAATGGGAAAAAAAAAGATTTGTGTGTTTGTGTCTTTAGGTTTAATTTATGTTCGGGCGCTCAGGATGTTGCTCGTCGTGGCGTGCATTCATATGTGCGCGAGTGCATGGTCGTGTGTGTGTGTGTGTGTGTGTGTGTTCATATGTTTGCACGTGCACGATCGGGTCGATCGGGAGAGGTTGGTCGCCCCAAAAGTCAATCTTTGGGCAAAAAAGTGTGTGTGGTTCTTTGCAGTAACACAGTAAAAAATTTGGCTCTTAGTCTCTGACTGGTTGGCCACCTCTGGTCTAGACATTCAATTCTGACTCATGCCGTGGTTTGTCTTGTGTTGTAAGTAGTGTTCTTGTTAATTTTGTGTTGCTTATTCTTACTTGAAATCGGATTTTTCTTGTCCTTTGGTGACAAGCTATTTTAGTTATTTATTTCCTTACCTTCTTCAAGCGCTTTCCTGCTGGGTCAAATGAACTAGTGTTGGGATGGTGCTCGAATAACCCAGCGGCTGGGTTGAAGATGAACGAATTTGAGTTAAATTTGACCCAA